TGAGTGAAAGTTTACAGGGCAGATGATCAGTTTCATGTTCAATAAATCATATTTTGGTTCCTTGTAATAATTATAATCCCCGCCATATAGTATCAGTTAACAGTATTTACCTCTATTCCCCTCCCTTTTTTTAATGTACACATACAAAGCAGAAAATACATATATATTTAAATGTCCAAAGGGCACACTTGTAAGCCAGCCTCCTGCCTGTCGGCACACAGCCTTTCTCAGTCCATGGGCCTGGAGTCCTCAGCTGCTCTATCTACGCCATCGCCTCAGCTTCCTGTCTCTGCTGTCGTCTTTCTGGTTAGGATCCCACGCACCTCTCATGTTCTGCCCTTTTGCTGGTCCTAGGGTCCTCTGTTCCTCAAATGGAAGATCAACTACTCTCCCCTTTTAGTTACACATCTTCTACATTTACAGTTGTGATGATCACCATTAATCCTGATAATAATTACACACAACTGAATTGTAAAATCCTATCCCCATCCCCCGCCCCCGCCCCCCAGCTTTCACCAGCCCCATCTGGAAAAAAGGAAAACTACTCAGTGGAGATTCTACCCTCATTCTGAAACTAAGCACACTCAAGAAAGCTTATAAGCCAGCCACTTCATGCCTTTAAAGCCCCCCATTTTTGATAGCCAGTGTCTAATCAACCCAGCGTACTGAGGAGGCAAGCTTGGTCCTTGATGTGAAGAGTCCTTCCCTTTTGGTTGGAATTTTGAGCAATTGCATCCATAAGCAAAGGTCTAGTTCATCAACTTGTAGTAATTTATGCTTACTCCATATTATCAAGCATCTTTATCTTCATCTGGTTGAGTTCTGGTCAGTTAGCCATCAAGCTAGGTCAAATGGTTACTATCTGCAAGTTTGAGCGTTCTCGCATGCCTCCCCCCACTTCAGACCAGCTGGCTGCTTCACTCTTAGCTCTAGCCTCTAGTGGCTTGGTCAGTGTCCCTGGGCTCGGGAGTTCACACACCTCCCTAAACTTCAGACCAGCCAAGCCTTCCTCTTCTCTCTCTCATCCCAAGGTCAACAGGTGTCTATGGAACATGGCCAAACTCAGCCCACGTCTTCATTGCTGCATTTCCCCCACGTCCACTCACATGTGGACCAGGGTGGTCACCAGTGAGCATACAGGACTGCCTGTGTGTTTCCTTTGCGTTTTTCAGTCTGAGAAGGGAGGTGACTCTGATGGGCTGACTTCTCTTGTCTTGATGGCTCCAAGGCAGATAGCTTGCTAGCTATTCTAACAGCCAAATCGTCTGCTTTTCTTCTGCTGTTCTTTCAAGAAATGTCTTCTGTTCTTCTAGCTCTTCTGGCTTGGTCTGCATGTCTTTTCAAGCGGGAATGTCCCACCTCAGAAGGTTCTAGGTGGGACTCAGGATTCCACCTAAGACCTCATACTCCACAAAGACTTAACAAGAAGCCTATTTCTCTGAGCAAGTTCTAATTAATTTTAATTAATCCAATCAGTTATAGGCTAAAGCCAGGCTTACGAGCTTCCTGTAATCATATTTCCCAATATTCCTTTCTATTCCACTTAAATGTCTATTTTACAATAGAAGGCAGGGAAACCAATATCCACAAGACAGTCAAACACCTTAACATTATTTTCCCTCCCTTACCCACTCCTACTGGAGTCCTGGTATGGCACTGTGGGTTAATGCACTGGACTGCAAGGTCAGTTTGAACTCAAGGTGGGAGGTTCAAGCTCACCAGCAGCTCCTCGGAAACCCTATGCAGGGTCACTATGGGTCAGAATCAACTAAACAACACTTAACAACAACAACACATTCCTACAATGTTTGGATCCCTGTATCACAGAGCACTGTTGTTCAAAGGTTAGGTATACATCACTATTTACCGGTATCCCATTTAGCTCGTGCATACCTTCCTGTCTACCCCTATCTTCCTTGTTCATCCATCCCCCTGCCCCTCTTTGTGTACTGTCCTCCCCATCACTGAGCCATCATTTGTCCTCCCCCTAACCCATGAATTGCCAACCCCTCCCTCCCAACCCGGTAACCATCAAAGACTTTTTCCTTTAGATTGGAAATCTTTTCTTACAGTTTTTACAATAATGGTCCCATGTAATATCTGTCCTTCTGTCACTGACTAATTTCTCTCAGCATTATGTCCTCAAGGTTCATCCATGTTACAAGGTGCTTTGCAACTTCATTGTTATTCTTCAGGGTAGCATACATAATATTCCTTGTGTTTATGTACCAAAGTTTGTTTATCCATTCTTCCATTGATGGGCACTTAGGCTGTCTCCATCGTTTTGCTATTGTGGATAGTACTGTGATGAACATCAGTGTACCTACTTGTGTTATGGCTCGTATTTCTCATATACCAAATAGAGGAATTGCTGGATCATAAGGTATTTCTATTTCTAACTTTCTGAGGAAGTGCCATACTGTTTTCCAGAGTGGCTGAACCATTTTACAGTCCCACCAGCAATGTAGAGGGGTCCCAGTCTCTCTACACCCTAGCCTGCTTTTGTTGTCCTCAAGTTTTTTAAACTTCGATTTTAAGATTGGTATAAGATAATATCTCATTGTTGCTTTGATTTGCATCTATCTAATGGCTAATGATCATGAACATTTCTTCATATCTTTGTTGGCTGCCTGAATGCCTTCCTTGGTGAAGTGTCTGTTCATGTCCTGTGCCCATCTTTAAAATGGATTATTTGTCTTTTTCTTATAGAGGTGTTGTAGATTTCCATAAATTCCAGACATTAGTCCCTTGTGTGATATGTCATTGCAAAATTTTTTTCTCAGTCTATGGGCTCTGCTTACTCTTTTGGTGAAGTCTTTTGGTGCACATAAGTTTCTAATTTTTAGTATGTCCCAGTCGTCTATTTTGTTTTCTATTGTTTGTGTGGTTTTTTGCAATGTTTGATGGTCTATGTATGCCAAATATTAGAGCCCTTAAATTTGTCTCTATTTTTCATCAATGATCTTTATATAGTTCTGGGGTTTCCATTTAGGTCTTTAATCCATGTTGAGTTAGTTTTTGTATATGGTGAGAGATATGGGTCTTGTTTCATCCTTTTGCAAATTGATTTCCCATTTTGCCAGCACAATTTGTTAAAGAGACTATTTCTTCCCCGTTTAATGTATTTTGGCCCTTTGTCAAAGATCGGTTGGCTGCATGTGGATGGATTAACTTCCAGGTTCTCAATTCTGTTCCATTGATCTATGTGTCTTTCATTGTACCAGTGCCAAGCTGTTTTTGACCACTGTGGCCATGTAGTAAATTTTGAAATCAGGGAGTGAGAGGCCTCCAACTTTGTTCATCTTCTTGAGCAGTGCTTTGCTTATCTGAGGCCAATAATAGTTTTCTTTTTTTTTAGTTCTTAACTGTTTACACTAGAATGGAGCTACTTTGAACCTCATGAACTAATTTTTAACAACAACCTTATTCAGTCTTCTGTGAACCATCATTTCCTAGTATGTATGACCATACTCCTTCAATGGCCCCTGACCACCTTTCTCACTTCACTTCCCTCTCCTTCTCTTCTGGCTCCCCATCTACTCTGGGCTTCTTCAGCAACCTGGGTGGGTTAGCACCTCTGTCTGGAATGTGTCCCTAACCCTCCCTTCAGCTTATGAGTCATGTTCGTTCAAGGTTCAATTAGAATGTCACTTCCTCAGGGAAGTCTTCCTTGGCCACCTCCAACCCTAACTTAATTCAGAGCTCTTCTAATCTTTCCTTGTAGAACACTTGGCACCATTTGCTATTATCTGTTTGTATGAAGAAGAACCCAGACCCAGGTCTGTAGGAATGGTTATTAATAGCCTACGATCTGCAGGTGACTCAGGCAAAAAAAAATAGTACCAAGCGTGCTTCCGCAGATCTCCTTCACATCTGCCTTCACTGTTCATCATTGCAGTGGCCACACAGCACCCAGAAACCACACTCAAAGTTATGGGGTTTATTAGGGAGGTTAACAGTTTACATTCAGGGCACAGTTCTTCCAGCCAGGCCCAAAGGCAGGCTTTCTCTGCCTGGCAATATTACACATGTCTTTGAGAGCAGCGGGTACGTGTTCACAAGGCGTACCAGTCCACCGTCAGCCTCAGCCTGGAGGCACTTGGCCTAGCTCCGTGGGTCAGCAAGCCTTTGTTGTTAGTTTCTTCTAGTGTTTTTATGACTTTGTATTTTGCAGTTAGATCTTTGATTAACTGGAGTTGATATCAGTATAGATCCCATTTTCCCCACGTTGCTATGTTGGCTCTTACTGATGGGTTTCAAGACAGACAGACAAGCTCAGGTTAGAGGAGAGGAGGTGGACCGCACAGGGAAAGGTGGACCACATGGGCAAGGGTCCCATGGCCTACTGGGCAGTTTGCCCCAGACACTGGGACACTCACATCCCACATGTGGTCATGGTCAACCCGGCACTGCTCCAGCTACTGGGAGACAGAGCAAACCCAGTAGACAGAGCCCCTGCCCCATGCAGGGACCACACAGCAATACACAAGCTGTATACATAATGTAACCGTGGACAGTGATAACAAAAAGCCAGGTCGCAGATGCAGAATCTATGATGTATGGGCTGTCAGGCCGGCAACGTCCCAGTGAATCTGAAAGGAAAGAGGAAGGACTCAGGGAAGATTGGGAAGAGTGAGTGGCTGGGGATTCTGGGGCCAGCCTCAGGGGGCAGAGCAGGGATAGAGGCCTGGTGATTTAGGGCCTCAATGTGGTTTTTGAGGGTTTTCATCAGGGCACAGCCATGGTCTCCATAGATATCCATCAAGGCAGAACTCAAATGCCACTAAGGTGGGGCTGCGTCCCTGAGACCTCCCTCCCACTCTGTGCACTGTGTCTCGTCAGACCCCTTCCCCCTGGGGTAGACTGTGTCCCTTCAGAACCTGAAGGGCAGTGCTTTGCTTCCCTGAGGGTCCCCAGGGTGAGGCTGTGCCCCCTCAGAGCCCCAGAGTGGGCACAGCTCCTTGGGCCTGGGAGCTCCAGCACTCACTGTCTGCCCTCAGCACCTGGCCACATTCATTATGGACAAGAGCGAGGCCATCGTCTCTGTGGACGACGCCATCCGAAAGCTGGTGCAGCTGAGCTCCAAAGAGAAGATCTGGACGCAGGAGATGCTGCTGCAGGTCAATGACCAGGCCCTTCGATTGCTGGACATCGAGTCCCAGGTGCGTGTGAGGGTGGGGTGCTTCCCGCCATCCCTGCATGCCTGTGAGAAGGTCAAAGGGCAGGCGGGGGTCCCAGAGATGCTGAGGGCCCACTGGAGCCTGGCGGACCCAGGGAGTGCCCAGGATACGGCCACGTGAGACAGTGCCTGGCAGTGTCCACCAGGTGTGGGCCTTCCCCGTTACTAGCTAAGGTCCACTTTCCTGACCGTCCTTTTCCGGACCCATAAGTAATCTACCTGTGCCCTTGGTCCAAAAGCCACCCCGTGTACATGGTCTGTGTCTAGGAATGGGGCCCATTTCTGCCTGAGATCGCTGTCTGAGCCCAGGTCCGACCCTCGATCCAAGCCCTGTACCCCCACGTCGCAGCCCCGCCTCCCAGCCCCCGTCCAGCGTCATCGTGTCGCCCCCAGGAGGAACTGGAGAACTTTCCGCTGCCCACTGTACAACACTGCCAGACGGTGCTGAACCAGCTACGCTACCCGTCAGTGCTGCTCCTCGTGTGCCAGGAGTCGGAACAGAACAAACCCGACGTCCACTTCTTCCACTGCGACGAGGTGGAGGTGAGGACAGCGCTGCCGCGGGGGCACAGCACAGCCTGACCATGCCAGGCCTGACCTCCCGTCCCCGCAGGCGGAGCTGGTGCACGAAGACATCGAGAGCGCGCTCGCAGATTGCCGTCTCGGCAAGAAGATGCGGCCGAAGACCCTCAAGTAGGGCGGTGTGGGGGATGGGGGTGGTAAGGCGGGGTAGCCGCTGCGAACCGCCAGGCTCATGGAATTGGGCGGGACCAGGCTAGGTGGGAGGGGTTAGGAATGGGAGGGAGCCAGTAGGCGGGCGAGGAGTGACATGTGGGCGGGACCAGGCTGGGCAGGCGGGGTCAGGTGTGCGGCGGGGGCAGGGTTGGGCAAGCGCCTGGCCAGGTACCGGACTGGGCCTGCCTGAACAGCCCTTTGACGCCACTCTAGGGGTCACCAGGAGAAGATCCGCCAGCGGCAGTCCATACTGCCCCAACCCAAGGGCCCGGCCCCCATCCCCTTCCACCGCCATGGTGGTGGCCACTCGCCCCAGGCCACCAAGAACCGCGTGGGCCCACCAGTGCAACTCAGTGAGCCAGGTAGGCCGAGGGGGCAAACGGGGCGTCCGGAGCCCACGCCACAAACACGTTGGATGCCGGAGGTCTGGGGGGCCAGCCACGTTTCCCGCATGCAGCAACAACTCTGTCTCCGCGTCCCAGGCTTCCGTCGTCGGGATTCGCAGGATGAGGAGCCGCGGGCTGTGTTGGCGCATAAAATCGAGAAGGAGACGGTGGGTGACCTCGGGGACATGATGGGTGGGAAGTGGGCCCCCGCTGCTCCCTTGCTCAGTTCCGGGCAGCGCCCTCACCTTCCAGGCCAGGACCCGAGAGGCGGAAAAGCTTGGGGGTCAGCCTGCCAGGTCTCCGTGGGGCCCAGGTGTCACCGCAGCGGAGGGGGCACATTTTGACCCTAACCCCTTTTCTGACTCCAGCAAATTCTCAACTGCGCGCTGGACGACATCGAGTGGTTCGTGGCACGGCTGCAGAAAGCCGCCGAGGCTTTCAAGCAGCTAAATCAGCGGAAGAAGGGGAAAAAGAAGGGCAAGAAGGCGCCGGCAGGTGGGCGCCCAGGGGAAATGGGTGGGGGGCTGCCGGGGACAGGCACGAGGCCAGCCTGGCTCACCGCCCTTCTCCCACCCCGCGCCCAGAGGGCGTCCTCACGCTGCGGGCGCGGCCCCCCGCCGAGGCTGAGTTTATTGACTGTTTTCAGAAAACCAAGCTAGCCATCAACCTGCTGGTGAGTACCACCGCCATCGCCCCCAGCCCGCCTCCACCCGCCCGCCCTCCTCCCATCCCGTCAGCCTCTATCTACCCTTCTGCATCCCCTCCCCGGCCCTGGCCCTGGGCGCTGACTTTTGGATCGGGGGACCCAGGGCCCAGTGCTCCGTCCCGCTCGCTTATACTCGCCCCCATTAGGCCAAGCTGCAGAAACACATCCAGAACCCCAGCGCCGCGGAGCTCATGCACTTCCTTTTCGGACCTCTGGAGCTGGTATCTGGGGCCGGGGGCCGGGGGCCGGGGGCGGGGGAGGGGGAGGGGCCCTGGAGGGGTTAACCTTATATCCACGCTCCAACGGTCACGCCCCTGACCTGGCCTAAGCCTCTTCCCGAAGGCGGGCCTTAGGGGCTGCAATGGGGTGGAGGGCGGTGGGAGCTGGGGTCCAGTGGGCGGGCCTCCTCTAAGCCTCGTTGTGCCCCAGATCATCAGCACTTGTGGCGGCCCCGAACTCGCGCGCTCAGTCTCCAGCCCCCTACTCTCCCGGGAGGCGGTGGGCTTCCTGCGCGGCCACCTGATCCCCAAGGAGATGGCGTTGTGGGAGACGCTAGGAGAGACCTGGACACGCCCCCGGTACAGCAGCGAGGCAGGAGGAGGAGGCAGACCGCGGAGTCAGCCTTGGCCGAGTGATGGGAGGGTACCGGGTGTGGACTGGGCTGAGGCCTGCAGGCTGGGAGGGAGTCCTAGGTGGGGGTGGACCCAGCTCACCCCGAGACCTCTGTCCCCAGCGCCGAGTGGCCTCGGGAGCCGCAAGTTCTCCCGTACGTGCCCAAGTTCCACAGCGGCTGGGAGCCTCCCCTGGACGTGCTGCAGGAGGCCCCCTGGGAGGTGGAGGGGCTGACAGCTGCCCCTGGTGACGAGGTTGGAGCCTTGACAGCCTTGCTAACCCGCCTTCCTCCACCCACCAGCCTCCTTGTTCCCTCAGTGCCCCTGCACCCACCTGAGCCTGCCCTCCCCACCTCCTGCTAGGGCTCGGCAGCCCTTCTGTCTCACCTGGCTGGGTGGGAGGCCATGTCCCCATGTCCCTAGACCCTCCAGGCCCCCATCCCACACCAAGCCCAGACCACCCATCTTCCCCACAGCCAACTCCAGTGAGCCGCCCGTCCTTTCGAAACTCAGCGAAGGCATCCAAGCCCACACCTCTGGGAGACGTCCTCCCACCAACCAGCTCCCCCCATGCTCACAGGTAAGCCCCCATCAAAGTGAGGGAATGTGATGCTCATCTCTCAGTACACAGAGACTCCATTTGAGTATGCTACCACCAAGTGGTGGTCAATGCCTTGTTCTCTTGGTTCAAAATACCTGTTGTCCAAACTCGAACCAGGGTTTCATTTGACCTTTAATGTATATAACTGAAGGGGAGTTTTCCAAAGTTATCCATACTTATGTGTCTCCACATTTATGTTTTATAATCAAAGTTACAACTTTGGACTTCAATGATTTCAGCCAACAGTTGGCCTGCTGGAGCTGTTTGGCCTGATTTAGATGAGGGAGGATGGTCTGTGCTAAAGCAGCCTCCTCCTCAACACACACACACACACACACACACACACACACAGTTTTCACAAACACGTCTCACAGTGGACAAATAAACAATAAACACAAGAGTGGAGGAAACCTTGTCCTTCCTCATTCCCCTCCTCCCTCCCAAGCTCCCAGCCTGCCTACCTGGAGAGCATGTTAACCCTGCCAGACCCCAGGATCACTTTCAGGAGGCCAGAGGGCTGGGAATTTACCTTTTCAACCTGCTCACTCCTCTTGCTCCACGCTGTCAATCTGGTGCCAGTGTCCCAGGCCTAGGACCACACTTTCAGAAACATTTTTACCTTTTGACTAACAGTCCCTGACCTGTCCTGGGTGATTTGGTACCTGCCCACATTCCCCAGCCCCACCCTGGTGTTCTGGGGCCTCAGCTGGATGAGGAAGTCACTGGGAGGAATGGCCTAGCTAGGACGGCAGACCAGGGGCCGGCCACATGCAGGGTCACCCAGAGCCAGAGCCACTGCCGTCTCCATGCCTCTCTGGGACAGGCCTCTAACCCCACAGAGAAGAGCAGCTTGACGACAGTGCCCACTGTGTGTGTCTACATGTGTGTGCCTTGTGTGTGTGCCTGTGTACATGTGTGTGCCTCTGTGTGTAGCTGCATGTGTGCCTTCCTGTCTGCCGGTGTGTGTACCTGTGTATCTGCCTGTGTATCTGCCTGTGTGTGTCCGTCAGTGTGCATTTGTGTGAGTATCTACATGTGTGTGCTTGTGTGCCTACCTGCAGCATGTATTGCCTGTGTGTGTTTGTGTAGTGTGTGTTGCCTGTGTCTGCACAGCATATATGTGTGCCTGTGTGTATCCGTGTGTATGTGTGCCTGTAACTCTGTGTGTATCTATGTGTGTGTGTACCTGTGTGTATGTATGTGTTTGTGTGCCTGTGTATCTGCCTGTGTGGACCTACATGTGTGTGTGTATTTGTGTGCCTGTGTATCCGCCTGCATGGACCTGCATGTGTGTGTGCCTGTATCTACATGTGTGTGTATCTGTGCCTGCATGTGTGTGTGCCGGAAAGGGCATCTATGGGGAGTGTCTTCATTGCTCTGAGGGCTCTCTACAAGTCCTCATCCTTAACGGCTCAGCTGAGCTGGGGAGGGGGTAGTTACGACTCTTGTCATTTCCTGAGCTCATACCTGCCTGTGATTTCCAAATGACACCAGGCCAGGTCCCCTCTCAGGTGAGCCTGCTCACCTTGTGCCCGCCCATCACGCCCATCTCCAGGCAGGGGCGCAGCACGCTGAGACTGTCACACTTTCCAGTCCCGGCTGTCAGCAGCCTCTGTGCCACAAGCTCCCAGAGTCTGCATAGAAGCAGGCTGGGTACCGGTGCCAGGGCGGTTGCTCTCTCCCAGCCAGCCTCAGCCCCTCCTGTCCCAAGCAGGGGCTACGATCCAACACCCACCATGAGCAAGTACGTCAAGATCCTCTACGACTTCACAGCCCGGAACGCCAACGAGCTATCTGTGCTCAGGGACGAAATCTTAGAGGTGGGTGACCTGAGGGTTGGACCCTGGGGGAGGGCTGTCCAGGGGAGGTGGGAGGCACTGTCGGGGGTGACCGTGTGTTTGTCCAGTCCCTGTCCTAGGGTCCCCATCCCAGGGCTCTGAATTGGACCTCACGCAACACAGTCTGACTGAGGGGATCTCCTTGTCTTGGCCATACCAGGGGGCCCCAGGATAAGGGCATCTAGAGAGCCTGGCTCAAGCTGGGGGCTGGTCAGTCTCTAGCCAGTGGTGGTCCCTTCGGTGGAACCGCAGGGGTTTGTCATGTGCATCCACCCCAGAAGCCCCTCCTCACCTCCTCAGTATTACTATTTGGTGCCAAACCCAGATCCAGGCCACCTGCTGGGGAACAGAAAGTGGAGCACGCTGGGGGCGGGGTGACCTACATTCACAACCAGGCCAAGAGGCACCTTACTCCCAGGAGTCGGCCTTGGAGACCCCCACCGAAAATGACCGGTGGCCCGTGAGGTGGGAGGGAAGGACTGAGCACTGGGGGCCCCCACTGAGGTCCAGGCGAGAACCAGCAGTCTAGCCTCTCTGTGAAGGAGAGGACCCCGCCAGCAGGGTGACCAGAGGGTGGGTCTGGCTGTGACATGATGCTGGTGGCCTGGCAGGTACTAGAGGATGGTCAGCAGTGGTGGAAGTTGAGGAACCGTAGTGGACAGGCAGGCTACGTGCCCTGCAACATCCTGGATGAAGTTCGGCCTGAGGAGGCAGGTGCCCCACTAGAGCAGGTGAGGGGGCGCTGACCAAGTGGCAGAGCCCAGGGTCTGGCTGTTGTGTACACTGAAGAGCTTCTGGCTGAGAGGTGGGGGGTGGGGGGCCCAAGGAAGGCCTGGCCTTAGCAACACCCCCAGGGGCTATCGGGAGGGTGGTGAGCTGGCCTGACTTGGCCCCCCTCTTTGCCCACCCTGTAGGCAGGTTCAAAATACTGGGGCCCTGCCAGCCCAACGCACAAGCTGCCTGTGAACTTCGCTGGGAAAAAAGAGGGTGAGAGGTCCCTTCTGACCTGAGGGAGGGGGCTACCTCACCATCATTAGCAGTGGGGTCAGCGTCAGCCTGGAGGAGGGGAGGGGAGAGCCTGGGCCAGGGCTAAGGGGGAGGACCTGGGCGCATAGGGACCCCTCTGAGCTGTGGGCAAAAGGGCGGTCTGACCCCTGGCTGCCCCCCACCCTCACCCCCAGAGCTGATCCACCACATGGATGAAGTCAACGACGAACTCATCAAAAAGATCTCTCACATCAAGGCGCAACCGCAGCGGAACTTCCGCGTGGAGCGCAGCCAGCAGGTGCGCCAGCCGCTCACCTTCGAGTCCGGCCCAGACGAGGTCCGAGCCTGGCTGGAAGCCAAGGCCTTCAGCCCGCGGTGAGCGGTGGCTACGGCAGCGGCAGCGGGCGGGCGGGCAGGCGGGGCAGGGCGGACAGGGGCGGGGCGGGGCGGGGCTGGTCACCTGGCTCCCCGCCAGAATCCAAGCTCACACTGGTCCCTGTCCACTCCCCTCCCCTGCAGCATCGTGGACAACCTGAGCGTCCTGACCGGCCCCCAGCTCTTCTCACTCAACAAGGAGGAGCTGAAGAAGGTGTGCGGGGAGGAGGGCAATCGAGTCTACAGTCAGCTGACCGTGCAGAAGGCTGCCCTGGAGGTGAGCCCCCCGTCCTCCAGCTCTGCCTCCCCCACACATCCCACGTGTCCCCGGGCTCAGGGCGGTGGTGGCCGCCTGACGGTGACCTGTCGCCCCCCACCCCCACCCCCGGACTGAGGCTGCCCTTCTTCCCCTCCTTAGAATAAACACGGTGGGTCTGAGCTGGAGGAACTCATGAACAAGTTTCATTCCAAGAACCAGAGGAGGACGGAGGACAGCTAGACTGGCGGCAGGCACCTTCCTCAGGGCAGAGCACACCTGCGGTGGGGACTGACCGAACTGACCGCACCGCCCCCCAAGTTCGCGGAGTATTATTTTTATATGTATACATGTATTTTGTACCAAGGACATGGATGGGGAGGAATGTTGAACGGACCCTGAATCTAGTTAGGGGCGTCTCGCCCACCTCATGGTGATGCCCAGTAGGTGGCGCTGCTGCCACCAATCCCTCCCAGTAACCCCCTCACCTGCCCACAAGGCCGACCTCAGCCAAACCTGCCACCTCGAGGTGCCAGCCCCCTACCCACCTGCCCACGGAAGGCAGGTCCCTTCCCCCTCCCCCACCTCTGCTTCCTCCGTTTTTCCCCACACTCTGGCCCCTCCCTCCTCTCCTCTAGCCCCCACCCCACTCCTCAGCCTGGAACCTCAGAACACCCCAGGGGGCTAGTGGGACCCTTCCTCCAGCCTCCCATTGTCCACAGGGGCTCCTGGCCCTGTGACCCTGACCTGACACCCCCACTCTGCCCCGACTTGTACCCAGCCACGCCCCACATCCCAGGATGAGTATGCCAGGACAGCCTCAGCCCTAGTCCTGTGGGCTCGGAGCTGCCTGGGCAGCCAGCCGGCTAGTGACTCCTGCCCCAGATGTTGCCCACAGCACCACCCATGAGACGTGCCAGCTCCCCGGAAGTCAGAAGCAGGGCTCTAGGACAGGGGACCTTGGTGCCACACAAGTTGTAGCCCCTCACACTTTGGGGAGCAGAATAGACTTGGAAACACTCTCACCCAAGTACTGCCCCCAGATCCTTCTGCACAGAGCTGGGGAGGAACTCTCTCCCACCAGAGAGCTAAGAGGTGGTTGAAGGTTCAAGGCTACATGTCATTAAACTTAGTAAATCTCATAGCAGCCATGTCTCCGTTCTAGGGCTGAGGGAACATGAGCCCCGTGCCGGACAGTGACTTTGTAAGGGTCACGTGGATGTTCCAAGAAAGGTCACTCATCCCTGACCCCAGAGGAGGGGATCAAGCGATCCCAGCACACACCTGCCCAAGAGGAGAGGGGTCCTTGTGTCTTGAGAGAGGGGACCTTCGTGGACTCCCACCCGAGGGGGCTCTGGGAGAGCGTCAGGCCAGCCTCAGTTTGAGTGTGAGTCAGAGGCATTGCCAAAACCAGATTTGTGGATTTTAGTCCCAAATTGGCTGAGGTGCCCAGAGAAGGATGTGGGACCTGGTTGGCTGAGTGGTCACAATGTGCACCCATGCCAGGCACCTGACCACCTATCCACCTGTGCCCATCTGAACTCACCTGAGACTCACCTTGGACGTTCCTTTTGGTGCCCTCTGCTGGCAGGTTTAAGTGCTACAGTGGCTGGCCCAGAGGATGCTTTCACACTCCAAGGGTTGGCAGAGACTTGATCTTCATGAACCCAGAGTGGCCAGCAGACCCACACCTGGGGGGACCAGTCCCAGTGTCTCAAGGGTCATCAGGGGTGGGCAGAGGGCACCTGGCCTGCAGGGCAGGGGCTGGAGTGTTGGAGCCCATGTCTCCAGGCTGGTCAACACACCAGTTTGGCTGACCCTAAAGCCCTGGGATCTTGATGTCCGATCAAAGAGTCTTGTGTATGGCCGCCAGCCCCATCCCAGGCCAGAAGAGGAGGGTCCACACTCCCAAGTCCTGGGGTCCTCGTAGCCCCCCAGCTGCCCCTGCAGATGAGGAGACAAACCCAAAAGGAGAAGGGAAGAGCTGGCTGCTGGCTGCTCCTCCCTCTGACTCACAGATCTGGCTAGTCTGGCACCTGCATTCTGACAGGTATCCACGGTCAGCTTCCACCCAGAAGGCCTACTTGGCCAAGTCTTGCCTGGCCGCCACCGGTTCTGAAAGGGATGTCTAAGGGCTGCCTGGAACTCCAGCCTTCATCCAGAGCAGGTGGCTTTGGGGAAAACTGTGCCCAAGCTTGGTGGACTCACCCTCCGTGCCTCATCCTGTTCTGTCCTCTCTCCATCTGCTGGATTACCTGAGCAGCACCTTCCCACAGGCCCAGCCCCATAGTCCACTGGGCCCCTGGAAGCTATCCCCATCTCCCCTAAGGGTCTGTCCTACCACCTCCTAGACACTCCCAAGAGCAGGGTGGGACTATCGCCATCAGCCCCAAGGCAACATGTCCAAAGTCAGTAAGCTGCCAGGATCTGAGCAGGCAGAGCTGCCCTGCCTGCCTACCTCAGGCTAGAGGAGTCCACCCAGAAACCCCAGTCCAGATGTTGACAATGACAACCCCTCCTGGCATCTGGTACTCTCAGCAATGACCTGCAAGGGAAGGGATGAAGGAGGTGGCACCAGGGTCACCTGCTTCAGGTCCCTACCTGGGCGGGGCGGTTGTGATTTGAAGGCAGTTTTGCCTGACTCTGCACTCATGGGCGTCTTTAACCTCTCACGCCCCTGGTCTTACCTGCCACACAGGAAAGGCTGGGAGAAGCCGGCTGTGGCCATGCCTAACTCAGTGTGGACCTGGGCTGCATGGGGGCCTGGGCACGGGGGACAGGTCTACACAGGAGGATGGGAGGCAGGGGTTCAAAGCTTCCTGAATGACCAGAACTTCAAACCTCAGGAGTGTGGCTCTGGCTGTGAATGGCAGGAGGGTGGGCAACCTGCCTTGCAATCCAGCTGTGTCTCCAGCTAAGATCCCATGAAGAGTCCGTCTCTGTTCATGGGACAAGTGCAATCTTCAGGCTGTGTCCGACCTAGTGTGGGCTCCAGTGTCCTTTTTCTCAACCCCCACCTTGGCTGCTGTCCCCTGACTCAAGCCCAGCAAGAGCCAAGAACAACTTCCCAAGCCCTGTAGGAAGAGGTTTCTCAGCAACATATTACAAAACATTTGACTCCCCAGAGGTTCTACTGTAAGATGTTCTCAGTCTCGTAGCCAGCATTCTGGCCCCAACCCCGAACAACCGGGGGCAGAGCTGCCCTGTGACCCAGAGAAGCAGGGTGCTGGCAGAGGTGGTACCAGGATCAGCAGGGAAAGGACTTGTAGACGAGGGTGGTGGTGAGAGGTCTAGCTCTGGAGAAACATCAAGTGGGTGTCTCCAAGCCCCACACACCAAGTTCAGAACGATTCCAGCAGAGCACATGAGAGGGTTCAAAGAGGAAAAGCCAGGAGAACAGCGTGGGGGGAAGACACTTGCCCCCACGAAACTCCATCCTCTGGCAGGTAGGAGCTTTTGTTGTGGTAAGTGCTTCAAGTCGGTTCTGACTCAGTGACCCTGCACAGGTTTCCAAGGAGCTGCTGTGGGTTTGAACTGTTGACCTTGCTGTTAGCAGGTCCCTCCGAACTCTGCTTGTCTGTTTAACCTCTCAGATCTCAAAGGAGATTGATTCAGGATACAACGTAATCTTGTAGATAGTGTCATCGTAGAAGTAAGGATGTGCAACACACAGGGTAACTACATCTGACCAGAGCTGGTCACACCAGATCACATCACGAGGAAGTGTTCACACTACATCAGATCACATCACAAGGAAGTGTTCACACTACATCAGATGACATCACGGAGGAAGTGATTATACTACGTCAGATCACATCACGAGGAAGTGTTCACACTACATCAGATCACATCACATAGAAAGTGTTCACACTACGTCAGATCACATCATGTAGGAAGTGTTCACTCTACGTCAGATCACATCACGTAGGAAGTGTTCACACTACATCAGATCACATCACGTAGGAAGTTTTCACACTACGTCAGATCACATCACTAGGAAGTGATTACACTACATCAGATCTCATCACGTAAGAAGTGTTCACACTACGTCAGATCACATCACGTAGGAAGTGTTCACACTAAGTCAGTTCACACTAAGTCAGATCACATCATGGAGGAAGTGATTACGCTACATCAGATCTCATCACAGGAAAGTGATTACATTATGTTAAATCACATCACGAGGAAGTGATCACACTACGTCAGATCACTCACGAGGAAGTGTTCACACTATGTCAGATCACATCACTTAGGAAATGTTCACACTACATCAGATGACATCACGTAGGAAGTGATTACACTACATCAGATCACATCACATAGGAAGTGTTCACACTACATCAGATCACATCACGTAGGAAGTGTTCACACTACGTCAGATCATCACGTAGGAAATGTTCACACTACATCAGATCACATCATGTAGGAAGTGATTACACTATGTCAGATCTCATCACGTAGGAAGTGTTTACACTACGTCAGATCACATCACTAGGAAGTGATTACGTCAGATCACATCACAGAGGAAGTGTTCGCACTACGTCAGATCTCATCACGTAGGAAGTGTTCACACTATGTCAGATCACATCACATAGGAAGTGTTCACACTATGTCAGATCACATCACTAGGAAGTGATTACGTCAGATCATATCACGGAGGAAGTGATCACACTACGTCAGATCTCATCACGTAGGAAGTGTTCACACTATGTCAGATCACATCACATAGGAAGTGTTCACACTATGTCAGATCACATCACATAGGAAGTGTTCACACTACATCAGATCACATTACTAGGAAGTGATTACGTCAGATCATATCACGGAGGAAGTGATCACACTACGTCAGATCTCATCACGTAGGAAGTGATTACACTACGTCAGATCTCATCACGTAGGAAGTGATTACACTACGTCAGATCATATCACGTAGGAAGTGTTCGCACTACGTCAGATCATATCACGTAGGAAGTGATTACGTCAGATCACATCACAGAGGAAGCGTTCACACTATGTCAGATCTCATCACAGAGGTTACTAGTCTTAATTGCCAAACGACTGGAAATCAATCCAGACCCCGTCAAGCTGACACCTAACCTCCACAGTCACACGCAGGGTGGAGTTCCCCTGAAAACTCTAGGGGAGATACCCTCCTGGCTTCTTCTGGCTTCCAAGTGCTTGCCCCAAATCCTTGGCATTCCTTGACTTGCAGTTGCATCACTACAATCTCGTCCTCATAACTT